GCCATCTGTTCTTTTATATTGTGCAAAACAAGTTAATGGAAGTTGCACTGAGTAGATTGGATTGAGGAAGTTATAGCTGTGAATTTCTACTTCAAACCATTCCGTTCAATCCCCTTTAATATCTTACTGGTTTGAGCATCGATTTCTCTTTCAAACAATCTGAAGATATTTACTTTTTTAGATAATCGAAATGTGATTGAACAAGATTGAAATAGGAACAACATGATCAACATGATCAAATCTGGAACTAATCACCAAAAGAATTTTAATTCGAGTTCATCGACTTCAAAATGTATTCTTAACACGAATTTGATCCTTTCAATGGTTCTTTAAGGCAATCAGCACTTTGACTACTGTAACCATATAATTTCCCTTAATGCACTCTATTGAAGAGCATACGAAGACAAAAAAGGTGATTCGTAGTATGGGTGCCAAGTACAATTGTTGAAAGGATCAACGATCGGTTGACCACGATATTGAACCAATTCCATCAACTTCGCTTCCGTATTATAGATAAAGATTTTTTTTTCCTATCTTGAAATGCACAATAAGTGGGTTCTCCGGGCTCAATGCTATCATAGACATAAAGCAATGTATGTTAACATTATGCACTAGGCTCCAATCTTTTCTATTTTATTTTATTTTTTTGATCGGTAAATGTAACTGTATAGATCAAAAATATATCATGTATAAATACACCGGGCATACCCGGACGAGACAATGTCCATAATCAAATACAAGTACTCCGGGCATATCCAGGCAAATCAATGTCCAAAAACGTGCAAAAAAAGGATCAATGATGAAAATACTTATAGACGCCATTAGCAAGAGAACCATAGAGAATCAAAACATTCGGATACAAAACGAACTTTGCTTTGTATACGTGTGTTTTGATCCTCCTCACAATGAATTCAACTTGCACTTTCATACCATCAAAAATACAACAATTCCTAGCCATCCAAATGTAGTAGACAGTAGTAGCAAAAGCAATCCGTTTAACACGGCTTGGCCAACTCTTTCCCCGCGCTTCTTTTTTGAGCCATTTAAAAGTGCTCGGTAAAGTAGACATGAAATGCCAAATACCCAACCAAAATCTGATCTGTTTCCGTACCTCGGAAGTGACACGGCATGCAAAGAATAAGTGCTGGACAGATTCGTCCAGCACTTCACAAAATGGGCAGCTTCGATCCATCTCCAAGTGCAGTAGCTTGTCCCTCGTTTGGAGCTTAGAATGGGCAGCTAACCATAAAATAAATGCATGTTTGGGGATGATGGAACCATCCCAAACCGTTCTGGACCAGAGAAGAGGTCCCCCCTTCGGCCTGAAGTAGTCATAAGCTGCTGAAGTAGAAAAAATTCCAGATTGTGTCCAGCCCGTCAATCTGTCCATTGCTGAAAATCCGTCCGTTTGGGCAGCAATGATACTGTCCTGGATGTCGACCAGCTTCTTAATGAGTGGGGAGTCTTGTTTCTTCACACTATACCCCCAAAAATCTGTCCCTTGGAGGTAGACAACATTTATCCATTTAATCCAAAGCGAGACTTTCTTACAATGGATATTCCAAAGTGTTTTAGAGAGAAGTGCAGAATTCCAACATTTCAAGTCTCTAAAACCGAGCCCCCCCTCAACTTTAGGGAGGCAAATAGTGTTCCAAGCAACCAAAGGTTTCTTACCCCCCCCCCCCCCCCCCCCCAAAAAACACAAAA